TTCAGGGTCTCCAGGGAAAGAAGCAGCTCTGCTGGAGTCACAGAGGGACCCGTCATACCCTCTGCCCGGGCACCGATGCCCACTGGCCCCGCCAGCCAGGAAACGCTTGTATGACAGGCAATCATTCTGGTTATTCACTGGGAGAACAGCGAACGTCTGCTTCAAGGCGGTTTCCTCTCTGTCTATTCTCTGAAATGCTTAGAAGCAATAATAATGCTTGGCTTCAGGGTGGCTTTCTGTCCCTCCTGTTCCTGGAAACAGCCAGAAAATTACCTGGCGTAAAGAATCATCACTGTCATTTTCATTTTACCGGGAAATCTGCTTGGTTTTGAGAATTTTCTGGCTGAACACATACTTCTCTACTCTCCTCTCATCTGAGCCTCATATTCATTACGGAGCCAGGCAGGACATGATTCCTGACTTACTGAAGCTCAGATTCAATGGCCAGCCCTCAGCCACAGAGAGAAGGTGGTGGGGCAAGTGTCGACTGTGCGTTTGCCTTGCTGAAGGAGGCCCTGTCACAGACGCTGAGAACGCCGAGGTCCTGACCTCCAGCTGCTCATCCCTGACTGGGCCCTCCTGCCCCTGCGAGCTCTGGCGTGTCGGAGGGTTCTCTGTATGCACATGGCCTGGGCTTGAACGCATTTGGTGACAGCTTCTCAGCGTCTTCTCTTCAAGCAGCCCAGACCTCATCTGGCTGGCTTCACACCTGGAGCGGGGCGGGGGTCTCCTGGAGTTTTGACTGCTTGGCCCAGACCTGATTCTCTGGGGAGCCCCAGAGCGCAGGCTTGTTCTCAGAGCATGAATGGTGTTCGGTCCACAAGTGAACATCCATGTGCTGCAGGCTTGCACTCCGGGCAGAGGTCCCAGGTCAGAAGCGCAGCACCTGCCCTTTGTAATCCCTGCCCACTGAGCCCTGGGGCTGGCGGGGGCTCTCAGCAGAGGGAACGTCATCATTTGAGGTGTAAACATTTAGAGGTACGTAGATATGCAAAGTGTCGATGTCACTCATTCCTTGGGAAACAAAATAGCAGAACATAGCAGTCATTTTTACTCTGCCTTCTGGCCTAAAATTCCAGATTGTGATCTTTGAACTGTACTCCGTGGACAGTGGGAGCCACTGAGGACCCCATCTTCCTCTCCTGCCTTCTCTCTGCTCTGCTCCTCTCCTTTCCATTCCCTTTCTCCCTTCTCCATCCTTCTTTCCATCTTGTTTCCAACTTAAAGTTCCTGCTCTCCTTTCAGACCCTTATGTGTGTTACCAACCCAGACACACAAAAGAAAAAAAGGTGATATTTGGAAAGACTCTCGGTTACACCCTCTCCCTGGACCACTTGCCTGGAAATCTGGTCACCGAGCAATAAGTAAAAGCATCCCAAAGAGAAAAGTGGCCCATCACCCCACAGCTGGGAAAGGGTGGTACCCCAAAGTAAGACTATGCTCCTTGAAGGGGAGAGGGCGTGTACACCCCTCACCTCTGGTGCCCCATGCCCGGTGCAGAGACAGAGGGTGAGGTGTATGTGATGTGAACCGGGAGGGCTCCGCAAAATGAGCCGGGCAGCAGCACCGGCGGGGCCGGGAGGAGGCCTTCTGAGGAGCAGAGAGCAGCGTTTCCTTTATACAGTCAGAGAGAGGGAGTCAGGAGAACGGGCTGGGGGTCTGTGTGTGGGTCATCGCTCCCAAAGGAAGGGTCCCGGCAGGAGCAGAACAGCAGTGCCCACAGTCCCAGAGGGCGTCTCGGGGTCAGTGAGCCTCCCCTTGTGAGAAGACACCTGCGTCGTGCTCTACTGCATGGGAGTAGGAAAATGACACAGGAAATCCCCTACGGTAGAAGAAACGCCTCTTCTTGGACTTAACGGGGCCAGCTGGGATTTGGTGATCTTCCGTGAATACCACGGAGTCCTGGGGTCTCATTTGCCAAACTGCTCAAAATCAGAGTTTAATCTCCCACAGAAGCTTGGCCAGTGGAAATTATTTCCCAGAAAGTGCTCAAACCTTTCTCCAGGCACAATGGCAAGGCCACCCTACTGCACATTGCCTGCCCAGTATGTGCCTGGTCTTAGGATCTTGAGTCATTTTGTCCTCTCTGTGACTGCCCTGGCCCCGGAGGTCAGTGTAGCTGCGTCCATTTGTCACCAGGAGAGCTGATGTACCAGGGGTGATGTCACCTGCCCCAGAAGGCAAGTGATAGAGCTCTTTTCCTTGGGAAACAAAATAGCAGAACATAGCAGTCATTTTTACTCTGCCTTCTGGCCTAAAATTCCAGATTGTGATCTTTGAACTGTACTCCGTGGACAGTGGGAGCCACTGAGGACCCCCTCTTCCTCTCCTGCCTTCTCTCTGCTCTGCTCCTTTCCTTTCCATTCCCTTTCTCCCTTCTCTGTCCTTCTTTCCATCTTGTTTCCAACTTAAAGTTCCAGCTCTCCTTTCAGATCCTTATGTGTGTTACCAACCCAGACACACAAAAGAAAAAAAGGTGATATTTGGAAAGACTCTCTGCTACACCCTCTCCCCGGACCACTTGCCTGGAAATCTGGTCACCGAGCAATAAGTAAAAGCATCCCAAAGAGAAAAGCGGCCCATCACCCCACAGCTGGAAAAGGGTGGTACCCCAAAGTAAGACTCTGCTCCTTGAAGGGGAGAGGGCGTGTACACCCCTCACCTCTGGTGCCCCATGCCCGGTGCAGAGACAGAGGGTGAGGTGTACGTGATGTGAACCGGGAGGGCTCCGCAAAATGAGCCGGGCAGCAGCACCGGCGGGGCCGGGAGGAGGCCTTCCGAGGAGCAGAGAGTAGCGTTTCCTTTGTACAGTCAGAGAGAGGGAGTCAGGAGAACGAGCTGGGGGTCTGCGTGTGGGTCATCACTCCCAAAGGAAGGGTCCCGGCAGGAGCGGAACAGCAGTGCCCACAGTCCCAGAGGGTGTCTCGGGGTCAGTGAGCCTCCCCTTGTGAGAAGACACCTGCGTCGTGCTCTACTGCATGGGAGTAGGAAAATGACACAGAAAATCCCCTACAGTAGAAGAAACACCTCTTCTTGGACTTAACGGGGCCAGCTGGGATTTGGTGATCTTCCGTGAATACCACGGAGTCCTGGGGTCTCATTTGCCAAACTGCTCAAAAATCAGAGTTTAATCTCCCACAGAAGCTTGGCCAGTGGAAATTATTTCCCAGAAAGTGCTCAAACCTTTCTCCAGGCACAATGGCAAGGCCACCCTACTGCACATCGCCTGCCCAGTATGTGCCTGGTCTTAGGATCTTGAGTCATTTTGTCCTCTCTGTGACTGCCCTGGCCCCGGAGGTCAGTGTAGCTGCGTCCATTTGTCACCAGGAGAGCTGATGTACCAGGGGTGATGTCACCTGCCCCAGAAGGCAAGTGATAGAGCTCTTCTGTTGGCTGTCCCTCCTGGCCCTGGGCAGCTCTGACCTTCAGAGTGGTCACCCCACCCCTCCTCTGCCGTGGTGTCAGTCTGGCTGATAGACCGACCAGGCCGTAACGTGACAGCGAGAGGGCTGACAGAGCAGATGACAACACAAAGGCATTTGCACACAGGGGTCAGTTCTGCTGAAGAGTCACATCAGTTTGAATCCAACAGGTCTAAGCAGGGCTGTGTCGGTCAGTCATTTTATGTTCTTTATGGCAAAGTGCAAATTAGAGCAGAAATACGTGAGCAGCTTGGAAACAACCTGGGGTTTTATGTGTTCCATACTCTGAAGCTACATGGCCCGTGTTGGTTACGGTGCTACTGGGCATTGGGAGATGGCAGTGACCCTTTGTCCCTGTTTCCAGGGGACTCTAAACCATCTTGGGACAAGGCACAAGGCACTGAGAAGATTTTCTTTGCTAGTTGAATGGATTTTTCTTGTTTTGTTTATTTTCTTGCCTGCCTCTGCAAGCATCCTATTTCATTCTCTCCGTAGTGCTTCATAGAGGAGACCTACCTTTTGCTAGGAAATGGGTGCATTTTATTTCTTCACCTGAGACTTCTCTTCTCAGTTGTTTGATGTGAGGCTGGATCCACACAATACCTGACCACACAGCAAATACTAAGACACTCCCCTCTTCTTCTTTGAGTGTGGTCTTTCCATCTGCAGTAAGATGCACCCTAGCAATTTTCTGTGAGGACTGAGCAAAGTAGCACCTTTGAAAGGCATTTTGGAAACTATAAAGTACCACATTATTAAAAATAAGGTAATCAGTGCCTTATAGCCTATCAAAATAAGCATTATTTATTTTAAAATATTTTTATATTTTTCCAAATGAGCAGTTTACATGTTACATGATTCTGAGGAATTCACCCACTTGCTCTCTGTGATAACCCTGGCCAGTGGATGCAGTAGGGCCTCTTTGACTGTATCAGATAGATTTGTCTTCCTGAAGTTCAGTTTGACTTTGAGGAATGGTTAGGGATTAGGGTACATGAAGAATCCATTGGCGGACATGGAGTTGAACAAGTTCCTTAAGAAACTTGATTATCTAATGCAATTACAATGAGCACATTCGCCTAAAACTCAAGACAGTGTTCGTATCATATGTGACACACAAACCACACTTCCAGAGAAAGTGATTCTGTAAAGAGAGAATTCCGTGGGCACTAGGAAGTCCTCGGAGGGGGCAGTTCTTGTCTCCATGTCTCTGTGCCTTTCCTCATGTTCCCTGGAGAGGAGGATTGTGCAGGGCTTCATAGAGGAGGAACCATGTGAGCAGGTGAAGAATTTAGCAGGCACTGATTTCCAGCCAAGGAGCCCCACTCACTGCATGACAGGGGTTTAGATAAGACCCCAGGTTTGTAAGGATGGAGCACGGTTCTTCGGAGATGCCAGCCCAACTTGCCGAACAGCAGGCTTTACGTAATGGGACCTCATTTGCCTGTGATTTTCATCTTTGGATATTGGAATGCAGTCAGGGGCCCTTACTTTCCTTGACTTGGGCCACCACCCGAGGAGCTGTGGGTGCAGGACGATGCTGGAGCTCACAGGCTCCTACTGGTTCTTGTTTTGCAGACAGCAGCAGCCTGCATTCAGCCTGCGTCCATGAGAACACCGTGCACAGCCGGGTCTTTCAAATCCTGTACAGGAATGAAGAGGTGCCCATAAATGATGCCATGATCCTCCGAGCTCATTTGCTCTTAGATGGTGAAAGGGTAAGTCATGGAATGTACACCAGCACAAGTTGCCGTGTCCACCACTTGCCTTTTGCACCCATTGCTAGGTAAATGGTAAATGGAGGAGAAGGTACAGATTTGCCTGGAAACCTGGCAGGTAGGGACTTGTGCTGTCAGAGCACTCGTGCACGTGTGCACTTGTGCATGCACTTCTGTGCTCATTCTTTCATTCATGTCCTTGCTCATCCCAGTTTCCAAGCAGTTTCTGTTAACTAACTGATGCCTGCTTGCTCTTCGTTTGCCCATTTGCTCGTTGGTGCAGGCACCCAGTCTGTTGAGCATCTGCTTTGTGCAGGGCTCTGTCCTGGGCCCTTGGATGAGGGACAGTGCTGAAGAAGGCATTAGGAACTCTTCCCTTAAGGGACTGACAGTTTGTGGGAAAACAGATGTATAAGCACCATCCTCACAGGCAATATGCACTGTCCTAGCTTCGGTGCAAATGAACTCTGGAGCACCACGGGTGGATGGTGCGCTCTGTGGGGGACATCAGTGGTCTCACCAAGGAACCTGAGAGTCCATCAGACTAAGAGAAATAGGAAGGGCGTCCCATGCAGGAAGAACAGCACAAGCAAAAGCCCAGAGGCCTTGGGGAGCTCTCCCATTTGCTAGAAACATGATTAAAATTTCTCTATTCATCAGATCAACACATTTCAAAGAAACATCTCCACTCCTAGAGTCCCACCTCAAATTCCTGTTGCCACATTCCAGCTGATTATTTCCTGCTAGAATATCTTTGAAGATGTGGACATATATTCCTATTTTAGGAGAGCCTAATTAGAGGCATGTCCTCTATTCACATTCCCCAAGGGGCACGCATAACAGAGCCTACTGGCCACGTAATGTCTCCCTTCTCTCATGCCCTGTGGCTTTCTGCCCACGGCTTTTATGGTCTGGGTAGTGACCAGCTTCCCCTGTGCAGCTAGTGGTGAAAACTGTCACTAATTCCTCATTCATCAATCCATCTGCCCATCAAAGATTTACTGAGAACCAGCTAATCACCTACACTGGGCTAGAGATAAAACAGTGAACAAGAAAATATCCCTGGTGTCTTGGGGCTTATATTTTACTATTAGATCAGCATCCACAATGTAATCAAATAAATCATGGACATTGTTGGGCTGAGTCTCCCACAGCTACATGCTCACTCACTCGTCTGTGAGATACACACACAGGGTGGTGAGAGTAGATGTCAGGTGCCCATGGGAGGGTCCTGTGAAGCTGTAACTGGACCCAAGGGGCAGAGAGCCCACGGCAGGCCTACTCTGCAAGACTCGGTGTTGCTTCATGACCGCCAGGAGCTCGGCTAAAACACAGCCTTCACACACGATGGAGATTATTCCCTGGAGATCAAGTGATCGATGCGAGTGGCCTTGCCAAGACGCCAACACTTTGCTGAGCCCCCATGTGCTAAGGAGGGGCAGGTATGTCAAGAGCTCAAGGGGACAGTGTGCCTGGAGGAGGCACAGCGGGACGAGGCCCCTGAGGGGGAATGGGTGGGTGTGTTCCAGGGAAAGTAGAGAGGCTGAGGTGACTGGCACAGAGAAATAAGTATCCCCTTGTGCGCTGCCAGCCTGCAAGTACCCTGGTCCCTGTTCACTGCCCTTCTGTCTCCCATCTCTGCCCTCCGCACCCGCTTTGCCCCCTGGAGATCTGCTCCCTAGATCCTTCCCTCCTGTTTCCATCTGCATTCAGCCTCTGAGAGACCCTGCCAGTGGTCAGGGGGCAGCGGGGCCTGAGTGTCCATCCCCGGGCTCCTGCCGCTCTGGGCGTGTGGGCCGCGGCGTCCTGTGGTGGGCTGGAGCCTGCCTGTGCTACTGTCGAGGGCCAAAGGTACTTAGGTTTCCCAACTCCACATTTACTGATATTATATGGGTCCTTGTATCAATTGTGATAGAAATATGGACACCACAGAAATTGGGAATGCAGCAAATCTGTTTTGTTTCTTTTAATTTTCCTTCAGAGAGCCAGTTGTTAAACACTTAACAGCAACCCCCTGGCTGTGTCCTTCTACCAAAGGCCTCAGTTCAGTCAGGGAGCTCACTGCATGTAGCCCTCTCTCTCTAGTCTGTAATCACTGCCCCCACCCCTGACTCTTCCCATCTCAGCGGGTAAGGAAGTTTTGCACTTACTAACTGTGAGGTCCTGAGCCATCATTCGTGGCTTTCCACATCTTTGTAGATCAGCCCTTGAAAGTACTGCACTTGGAATCCTCATTTTGAGTATACCAGCTGCTTCCTTCCTGGACCTGGTTTAGGAGAAGACACCAGACCACCTTTTCCAACACCCAGGTTTAGCTCATTTGAGGGGATAATAGGCCTTAGTTCTGAAGTTGAACATAAAGTCTGTTTGACAGCATATACTCCCTTCTTCTGCATCCCAAATCACTTACCGCTACAGGGTCATCATTTATTACTGTGTAGGGGCAATCCATACGGCAGAGGACAATGTTACAGTTCATCTCTAAGTCCATACCAGTGACAGTTAAAGTTAATCACCTATGTCCATAAAACTGTGTGTCTGAGATGGATACATTGGCTCTTTCCCACTGAACTGGTCTGATTATGACAACAGAAACACCTTTTACAGCCAGATGGCCAGAATTCATGTTCATGCATACATATAGCAATCACGCCATTCCACATACTATGGGAAATGCAGACACAAAGAAGATTCAGTCCATGCAGGGAGAGCACACGTGCAAGAGGTGGCCATGGATGGGACTAATCACAGTCTAAAGCCTAAGACGGGATGTTGTGATGACGGTCACAAAGAATAAGCAAGTGTGGAAGTCGAGTGGGCATTTTATTTATGACACCCTGCAATCCCCCAGAAGAACTGGGAAGGCTGACAAAATTCATAAATAGTAAATGGGGGGGGGGGGTGGCGGGGAGAAGCAATAGAAAAAGCCAGAATAGAGGAAAAACACAAAAAGGAGAAAAGGCCTAGGATAAACGTAACAGACCATGTCACTGGGGGTGGCCCACACACTCAGCAGTAAGCTTCCCAGCAGCCAAGTCTAAGACGATTCAGTTTCTAACAATAAAATGCTTAGTGCCCAGAGGAAGATTAGGAGCAAATTGAAGGAAAATGTCTTTAAGGACAAGATTGCAGTTTTATAGGCTTTAAAAGGAAAAGCGTTTTGGTAGTGTGAATCCTTGATGTGCCCCTGGCACAGCCCCCTGGCAGTACTTGTTCAAAATGCAGATTCTTGATCCCATCCCAGAACTAGTCCATCAGGCAGAGACTTTTCCTTTGGGGAGGAGGGGCGAGTGGAGTCAGAGTCTTGACAGCCAGGATGGGTGGAATTTCTGCAGTGGGCATTGAAGAGCTTTCCAGACAGAAGACAGCAGGACTCGGATTCTGGGGAAATGGTACGGAGTAGAGAGAGCCCGGATCCACCTTCTCCAACCTACATGATGAATCTACACCCACACACAGAACATTTCACCCTGAAGAAGAATGGAGACCGGTGTTTCCTACAGCAAAGCACAGGAAGATCAAACTAAAAAACGACAGGAGAGACAGAGACCGGGTAACCACAGGGTTCCCATCCGCAGCACAGTGACCCTCAGAGGGCTGAGGGGGGATATTGCTGAGAGAGTCAGGCACAGACTCCCTGCCCTGAGGCCCACGGAAAATGCCTGGTGGATTAAAGTACAACTAGACCATAAGTGAAAGGACCCACGTTTCAGAGCTAAACAGCAATGGAAAGCGTTGGAGGCAATCCAGGATCTGAGGAGCCAGCCAGTGACATTGTTTGTGCTTCTTTCGCACAGCCTTCTGCACCCAGGAGCAGGATCTGGGTGCCACCCAGCAGCCCCGCCTTGTTGCTTGCTGTTATCTACTGGCCCAGCCCCCATCAGCAGGACGGCAAAGTTCCCCTGCTTGCTGGGAGGGTGCATGAGTCTGCCGGTGGGTGCCACCCAGGCAACTCCCCAGAGCACCGTGGGGGAACGCCTATGCTGGGCCTGACTCCTGGTCATGAGTGGGACGTGGCGGCACTAATCGGAGAAATCCCCGAAGTAGCTCAGAGCGCACAGGGGCCATGGGGAACGTGCATGGAGCCTGATGCTACACCACCAGCAGGACCTGGTGGGCACCCTACTCGGGAACTCCCCAGAGCAGTCCTAAGTGGCCCAGAGGACACATGGGCATATGGCCGAAGAGGCTCAGGGGACTCAGCTGGCACCAAAATCCAAGAGTTACCTAGAGGGTGCTCCTGACTTGCCACTGACCCACCACCTTCCCCCAACCAGTGCAGAACTCATAGGTGTCCTTCCAGGAGCCCCTCCAATGGGCCCCCAAGGCTGCACCCCAGGATCACACTCTGGGAGCCCCAGCACGAGGAAAAGCCCACCTCACACTTGCTCGGCCTCCAGCCCAAACATTGAGGAACACGCCGTCTGCACAAGGAGCCCTCCACACAAGGCAAGACTGGGAGAATGGGTCCTTTCAACTATTCCAAAGAACCAAGCACAGGAAGTCACGCAAAATGAGAAGACAGAGGAATATGTTCCAAATGACAGAAGAGAAAAGAGTCTAGAAAAAAAAAACACTAAATGAAAGAGAATTAACCAGTCTACCTGACAGAGCTTAAAGCAGTGATTATAAAGCTACTCATTGGATGTGAGAAATCTATAGTAGAACTCAAGGTGGACCTCAACAAAGAGATAGAAAGTCTAAAAAAGAACCAATCAGAGATAAAGAATTCAATAAATGAAATACAAAATATACTGGAGGCAATGAACAGCAGGCTAGAGGATGCAGAAGAATAGATCAGTGACTTGGGAGATAAAGTATATGGAAAATACTCCAGCTGAACAGCATAAGGAAGAAAGAATTAAAAGAAATGAGGACAGGGTAAGAGCCCCAGGACAACGTGAAACATCCTAACGTCTGCATTATAGGAGCCCCAGAAGGAAAAGAGAGAGAGGAAGGATTAGAAAATTTAGTTGAAGAGATAATAGCTGAAAACTTCCCTAATCTGGGGAAGAAAACAGTCTACAAGGTCCAGAAAGCATAGAGAACTCCAAACAAGATGGGCCCAAGGAGGTCCACACTAAGACACATTGTAATCAAAATGACAAAGATCAAAGATAAAGAGAGGATCTTAAAAGCAGCAAGAGAAAAGCAGCAAGCTATGTATAGGGAAACCCCATAAGATCATCAGCTGGTTTTTCCACAGAAACTCTTCCGGCCAGAGGGGAATGGCATGGCACATTAACAGTGCTGAATGGAAAAGGCTTCCAACCAAGAATATCCTACCCAGCAAGGTTACCATTCAGAATCGAAGTAGAGATAAACCTGTTAAAAGAGTTCAGAGCTACTAAACTAGCCTTACAAGAAAGGTTAAAGCGACTTCTTTAAGAGTAAAAGAAAAGATCCTAGCTAGAAGCAAGATATTTAAGAAGGAAAAATTTCCAGTAGTAAAGAAAACATATAGTAGAGGTAGTAGATAAATTACTTAAAAGCTAGTATGAAGGTCAAAAAGAGAGAAATAGCAAAAGCAATTTGCATCTAAATATTAGTTAAGGGGATCACTTAACAAAATGGTATAAAAGAAGTTATTATACATATAAAAGGTGAGGAGGGGGAGTAAGAATGTAGAGCCATTAGAATACATCTGACCTTAACTGACAGTCAGCATATTACATATTGTCATATTCATAGGATGTCATTTAAGAACCCTATAGTGACCACAAACCAAAAACAAAGAAGGAAGACAAAGTACCCCAAACATAACACTGAAGAAAGTCATAGAACACAGAGAAGAGAGCAAGAGAGGGGGAAAGGTCAGAGAACAGCAAAGACAACCAGGAAACACTTAACAAAATGGCTATGCATACATACATATTGATAATTACTTTAAACGTAAGTGGCCTAAATGCTCCAATCAAAAGACGTAGGTGACTGAATGGATAAGAAACACAAGACCAGCTATTTGCTGCCTACAAGAGATTCACTCCAGACCTAAAGACACACACAGACTGAAACTGAAGGGATACGAAAAGATAATACCATGCAAATAGGGACAATAATAGCTGGAGTTGCAATACTTTAACTTTTATCAGACAAAACGGACTTTATGACAAAGTAACAGGAGACAAAGAAGGACATTACATAATGATAAAGGGGTGAGTCCAATGAGGGTATATAACAGTTGTAACCATCTATGTACCCAACATAGGAGCACCGAAGTGTGTAAACCAGATACTAACAGGAGGTGGCAGAACAGTGAAAAGCAGTAAAGTAGAAGGCAGGTTTGGGGAAGAAAGCAGTTGCCACTCGGGTAGGAGGGGGCACAGATGCAAGGTTAGAGAGGAGACTGAGGACACAATGCGGAGGGCCCCAGAGCTCCTGCTCTACACTGTCCGTTTACCTGGTTCTGAAGGCAGGAGGCTCCTTCAGGAGTTGGGAGGAGGAGAGCTGGGATTCAGAAAGTTCAGTCTGGCAGAAATATGGAAAATGGGGGTGGGGGGGCCGGAGACTGAGGACATGCAGGCAGTTGCTGCAGTCCATGTGAATGCTGGCAGTGCCACGGCCCCAGTGGGGGAGGTTGGAGAGGGCGCACTGCCTCCCAGCCCAGGGTGGCCCAGAGAGCTGGGTTCAGGTTACCTACAGGAGATGGAGGGAACATATCCTGTGGTCAAGAATGTTAAATGGGAGTTGACTCTGACGTTTGGCTATGAATGGGCTTGGGGATGCCATTGAAGGTCAGGTTAGCTGGGAGAAGAAATGTCTCTATTGGGGAGGGATAGAAACTCGGGGCCGGTCATAAATAGCAGTTGCATGATCATATAAGACGTTAGTAGTAGCATCTTCTATTTATTAGGTGTGTGTTGTGTGGCAGGCATTGTACTGAATGCTTTGCTTTGAAGATCTCCCTGAATCATCACAACAGTATTGTGATGTGTTTTATTACTCCTGTTTTACAGATGAAAATACAGAGATGTAGGGAAATTAAGTAATTTGTCCAAAGTCCCACCACTAGGAAGGGATAGAGCTGAGATGTGAACCCAGGCAGTTTGACCACAGAGCCTATGTTTGTGACCAGGGCACAGGGCTGCCACTGGAGTGGGTAAAGGAGGGAGTCTTGTGGGTTATAAATTGCAGATAACAATAATAACTAGCATTCACTGAGAATGGTCTTTGTTCATGCACTATGCCAAGCCCTTTCTGTGCATTTTCTTAGCTTGGCACACAGTAGCAGTGCCCTCTAGGGAACAGCAGTGATGATTTTACTCTCATTTTACAGATGAGAAAACACAGATGTTTGGCCCAAGGTCACACAGAGCCAAGATTTGCACCCAGTAGCTTGACTTCTGAAGCTGCCTCCTTTCCCACCCCACTGTGGTGCATCTCAGGAGAGGAACTAAGAATAGAGGAAAAGAGATGAGAATCACCATTATGAGTAGAGTCTGGAACCAGCCAGCTACAGAATGTGCAACCTGCAGGGAAGGTCAGACCCTGCAGCCAGGCTGTGGGAGCAGAGGAGCCCTTGAGCAAATCTGTGCTGTGGGACTCACTGACCCACTGAGCTGGGTGATTTCACCTACTGAGGCTCAGTTTCCTCATTTGTAAATGGGACCAATATTTCTTAATTCATAGTTTTATCCACATTAAGTGAGATAGCATATGGGCACTGGTAGCTCAGTGCCTGCTGCATAATAACTCATCTGTAAATACTAGCTGCTGTTACTCTTCCCACTGCTAAACAAAACTGCTTCTTGGTGCCAATAATGTCCTTGAAGGGTGGTGATGCCTTTAGCCAAGATAAGGCAGATCAACAGAAGGGCACATGTACATGTGTGTGTGTACATCTGTGCATGTGTGAGTGTGTGTATAGAAGGAGGGGCAGGTAGCAATTGGCCAACGATGAAATGAATGGTTGGAGAGGCCCGTGACTTCATTCTGCAGCTCCTGCTATAAAGACTTATTGAGACATCAGTAAGGTCTCAGCCAGGCTCAATCCAGCCACAGCTCATCCTGGCAAAGGATTTCCCTCTGAGTTCCAGAGGAAGTGCAGCAAGTATAAAATCGGAGCTTGCTGTGAATTCTTGTAAACCAGGCAAGTGCGTGCTCACAAGGTGGTTAGAGGCTCCTTTGCTAATCTCACTTCCCAGGAACTGGCGGCAAGGAGCTCCGTTGCTTGGGTTGTGTGTATGAAGCAAGGTACATGATTATGCAAAACAAGGCTCAAGGGGAAGTTATTCATAGTGCTTGGATCCAGCAAAATGTTAACTTCTCAATGCTTTTTTTAAATAACAAATTTCAAAACCCTGGGGACCTAAAGATAAATCCTATCCATATGTCTCTGGCTGAGTTATGCTTCCCGAGGGACATGTTTCCAAAGAGGCCTTTGGGTACCAGATTCCCATCCTTCAGGAGGAGGACAGTCTTGCAAAGAAACAAATATCAAAAAGGGTGGAGATGGAGAAGAGCTGTATTTGTCTCTCAAGAAATTTACTACTTTCTATGTAGCAGGCTCTACTTTGGGAGCTGGGGATCCAGATGAACTAAGACTAGTCTCTCCCCTAAGGGCCCCGGGATCTTAGGGATCTGAGGCAAGAAACTGGCCCCCAGCGGTTGCCACAGGCCGGATGGGTATTGTCAGTGTTGCCAGAAGCCTGATCCAAATGGAGCTTCCAAATGCCAGCCTGGCATTGCCAGATCCAGGTGGTTGTTTTTTTCCCCCAGAACCTGGAAACCTGCAATAGAAATGTTGCCTGGTTTTTAAATGTTGGCAGCTTTATGTAGACTAAACAAAATGTGTGTACAGATAAAATTTGGTTCATGGGCTTCCAGGTTATAAACGTGCAACAATTTTAATAGGAAACATTGAACACTAAGATAGAAGAAACAAACCAAAACAGCATTTTGTGGGTGACAAGGAAGAAGGGCTCCATCCAGCCTGCTTGAGGGAGGAGACCAAGTCCTCACCCAGGTGTGCTGCCCTTACCTGCATGTCCCCGTGGGGTAGGGCGGGCAGTGAGATCTGGTGTTTGGAGGCAGCTCCCCTGGTGGTGTTCAGTGTGAGAAAAGAAGAACAGGGGTACCATCTTTTAGGTGTAAATGTGAAGCTGGCAGGTAGGATACCTAGAACCCTGTACTATGAGATCAAATGCTCAATGAAGAGAGGGTGTGTTTTGAAAGTTAGGAATGGAAGCAGCCATGGATAGGACATGAAATGCAAGTGCCTTGATGGACCTCAAGAAAAGAATGAAGGGCCTGCTTTCTTAGGAAGCCAAGCCACCTGGGGAAGTGACTTCCCTTTCCTGAGCATCAGCTTCTCTCTGTCCAGTGGGACAATAGTTCCTGCCAGGCCAGGGTGGCTGAGGGCCCAGGCAGTGTCATTCCACCATCCCCGTCATAGCTAAGTGGGGTTTCCTCTAGGCAAGGTCACTGCCACACCCTTCCCAAAGCCGGGGCCAAGGAACACTCCACTCCTGCCTAAACGGATTCCAGGTCAAGTCCGTTTGACCAATCAGGTGCTCAGGATTCCCTACAATACGGAAAACTTGTTTAACCCTTTTTGCGAACTGGCTTTTTCCCAGATTTGACTATTTCAGTCCTGTCCCTCTCTTATTCTTGGAATGCTCACTGATATCCCATTCAGTCAGAATTCCATGGAACATGCGTGGGAATTCTGCTTTACACATAAATGACATTAACCGTGGGGTGAGATTCTTTTTCTAAACTTCGGGAACTAGACCAGCTACATTTTTCTTTTGGGCCAGACTTGACCCCTGAAATCCCTCGAACTTTGTTTCCCTTGCAGGTGGAAGAGGCCCTGAGTGAAGTCGATTTTCAGCTCAAGGTGGACCTGCACTTCACGGACAGTGAGCAGCAGTGAGTGTCCTTGGCATCCCCGAGCGCGGCCGTGTGGTTTCCTCCCTCGGACCCGGGGCGTCCTCATGGCCGCGGGCCTCTGAAATCCCTCACAGATCTGGTTCCTGAGCAGCAGTAACCTCTGCTCCGCCACAGGCTACGGGAATGCAGGCTAAGAATGCCTGTGTGGTCGTGTTGAACCGCATGCATTTTAGGCAGGTAGCTCAAATGCTGCATGCCCAGAAACCTCCTGATTTCCTGAGGCTTTGCTAACGGGCACGTTCTTATATCTGATACCTCCGTGCCTTTCCAGTGTGGTATTAACTAGGTCTTTAGATCAATGGCCCTAAAAGGCGGCAAACCTCAAGGCCCCTTCTGAATCAAAGGAGATTTGCCAGGATGCTGCACCATTGTACTAAATATCTGCTATTGTATTTCAACTCTCTGAAAATTGAAAATCCATTTATGTGTAATCTGCCAATTAAAGATGCAGGCGCAACACTTCTCTCTCCTATCCTCTTCCTTTAAGCTGCTCTGTGGCCTCTCCTCCCACGTGGGGTGAACTACCATGTCACAGAGCCTCTCCAGCTTCTACCATGTCACAAGTAAATGGTCCCTTTTTCAGGTGTTAGGAAGCCCAGTCAAGGTATTTCCAAAACTCTAAACTCCCATCCAGTTTATGACTTCTTTCCCTTTTCGTGGACGCCCCCCGCGGCCCCCCAACTCTGCTCCAGGCTTTGTCAGAGCAGGACACTCACGGTGCAGTAGCAGGGTGTGGTGGACAGCTCCATCCGTCCCTGCCAGCTCGGGCTCCATGAGGGTGGAGCGGCTGCCCAGGGCCAGGAGCCCTATGATGCTGTCTGTTGCAGGCAGCGCCTCTTCCTACGGCAGGTGCCCCATTGCTCTGGGGGTACTTCATGCATTCCAGGAGAAACACCATTGGGCTGCCCCTCCCTCCCACACCCTTGCAGTTCTTTGACGTAGGGACGCCTCCTGTGGTGGGTCATTCAGTCCTCACAGGAAGCTCTTTGGGGAGTCTCTTCTCCAAGGAGCCCACATCTGGCCCTTAGGAAATACAGACACTTTAACCTTCATCCCACACTAGTGGGACCCCTCCCCGCTCAATGCTGCTCACTCCAGCCACCCTCAGCCTCAGGCACCAGGACCTGTGTTGGCCCAGTTCTAGGGGACACAGGGCGAGCCCACTTGAACATCCCTCTCATCAGACTGAGGCTATTGCACGGGGCACTCTTTTTCCCTGGGCTCTGGTAGGGGAATTGCAGGGCCCTGGCCACCCTCTGCAAACCATGGCTCACTCTGGTCTCTACAAGCTCTTCAGCAAATGCTCCACACTCTCCTGTGCAGAACAGGGAGTCAGGTGGCCAGTGCTGGCAGAATGATCCCCCAAGCCCTCTGAAGGTGAGGCTCCCTGTTAGAACGCCCTCCCCGGGAGTTTCCATAACATGGGGAGTTGAATTGGAGGCTGTCTGAACCACAGTTGGACGCTCTTGAGATGCTGGAGACCCGATCGTGTCTGCACATTGAAAGCAGACATCTGCTGATGTGTAAGATGGTCACGTCCAGTCTGGGCTGTCAGGGGATCTGTCCGTGGTTCTGCCACTGTGTCCAGGCTCAACACCACAGATTCCTCATTCTTCTCTGGCCCCCTGCTTCCCTCACCATGTCTGCTCGCCTTGGTGGAATGGTGGTGCTGGGAAATCATACCTTCCTCACACCATCCCTAGGACTTGTTCTAGCACCGTTTTGAACTCAGAGGCCATGCCAGAGTGCAGCCTTCCTTCTAATCTATAAACCCGGAAGTGAAGCCGCTGCCTCTGCTGCACCCACGTCCCCCTCTGCCATCTAGGATTCCTGTCATCCACTCCTCAACCACCCCTGCCCTATTTTCCTCTGCCTATTTCCCTTAGGGATGTGAGTCCATAGTGCCAGGGGAGACTTCCATCTGATCACAGACCCTGCCCTTGATTCCACACTCAGCCTAGAAGCCATTCTCCACCCAGTGCTCCAGGCAGCCTAGAAGCCATTCTCCACCCAGTGCTCCAGGCAGCCTTACTGATATGTCACAGGGGACACAGGAAACGAGACCTTCTTGCCATCAAAGCAGTAGGTAGTGCAGAGCTTGTGTACCGGAGACGGGACCCAGGAGAGGATGAAACCCAGCAGGCTAGGCTGTGTGCCACCAGCTGTGAGACTCTGGGCAGGTCCCTGCACTTTTCTAAATCTCTGTAGCTTCATTTACAAAATGGGCATCAATACAGAATCTATTCTCACAGGTCTGTTATGAAGATTAATAGGAAGGACTATTAATGGCCAGCTGCATGGCTGGCTGAGTCACTGTCTCCTTTCCCTCTGTGGCTTCCATGTGCCACTTCCTGTCTGTGACACAAAGCACTTCGTAACAATCACGCAGGGAGTTTTCATTGGCTATGAGATCAGCTAAGAGAAACAGGAAGTCAGAGGCTGGGGAACAATTAGAAATGCCGTGCTTTTTCATTTTCATAAATTGAGTTTAAGGATCTTAAAGTGTCTGTAGCACATCCCACAGGTAGACATTAGGTTTTGAAACTGGCCCCGGGCAGATCAGAATCATGCAGGCTTGAGCGGAGCCCAGCAGAGAAGCACGAATCCAATACCAGGGACCTGGGACGGTGGTTCTCGCTGTGGTGGGATGGCTCATCCCTTGGGGACATTTGGCCATGTCTGGAGACACACTGGACTGTCACACTGGGGCTGGGTGCTACTGGCGTCTCATGGGTCAAGTCCAGGGATGCTGTCCACATCCCACATGCGCACGACAGAAGCTGCCCACAAACCTTTGTTCAGTCCCCGAGGTCAGGTTGCTGAGAGGCAGGTCCCTTGCTCTGCTTGGCACAGACCCACGAGCACGTGGCTGCCCAGGGACGGGGGGCTCACCCCTCCATCACACCCCACCCCCTCTGTTCCTGCCTATCAGGACATCAAGGCGTTGTTGTGTACCTTTCCTCAATTACCCTCCATTTTCGACCTTGAAACCACTCAGAAAAATTCTAAGTGTGGAAGGCTGTTCAGAAAAACAAGACTCCTTAAGTTGTCTCTTCATCTTCAGTTAAACATCAGGGTTCTTTTCTGTGTTTTGTGCTTTTGCTTGAATTTTTTTTTTAGTTCCTTTATAAGAACCCAGGCATCCTCCTCTCAGTTCTTCTTGTTTATCTCCATCTTGTCTTAAATGAAACTGGCCCAAGAACTGTTTTATCTCTGTTAATGGGCTCTATCCATTTCAGAGCACGAAAGAACATCACCTCCCTCATTCCCAATTCTTTGCTCCTATTAATGTGGTTTAAATTCTTGTTACTATTTTTGATACCTTTGCTACCCTGACAAGTATTTCACCTCCTGTTGTTCAAGCCCTAAGGCTACTTCTGTGATTTTTACGAGCCTGTGTCTGAATGTATTCAAAGGGATAATGTTCAGTAACGCAGAACAGACTGCGGAGTCTGATAGTCGTGGGTCTAGCATTTCAGTGTTGCCTTGTGACTTTGAACAAGTCAGTTAACTCATGGTGGCTTCAATTCCCCATCTATAAATGGGATGATACTAGTAAGTACCTCATAGGACTGTTGGAAAGATGAGGGGCAAAGCACTATATTCAGGCTTTACTTCACCCCGGCGGGCTCAGAGGGGAGTCATCTCCCACAAGTCTGAGCCCCAAACCAAGGCGAAGGGAGCAACATATATCTTTCTGCTTCCGTATCTGTAACATGCTTATGTGCACAGCCAGTGGGCAGGCAAGGGGGAGGGAGTGCAGGGGCTGAGCCTAGGGAGCGGGTGCTGGGCAGAGCGGGAAACCAAGGGAGTGTTCTTGTTGTTTGTGTTGACGAGGGGGGTACAGAGGGGGCCACCCGGGCTGGACTGCTGTCCTCGTAAATTGCTGTCCTTGTAAATTTTTCCCCATCAGTAAAGACCTCATAGGACTGTTGTAAAGATGAGGGGCAAAGCTCCGTGTTTGGTTTGCAGTAAAGCCTTGATAAACTGTTGTCAGAATTAAAATGAATCTAAACGTTCACGACTTCTGAGGCTCAGGGTCTATACTGTTCGCCTTCTCCCCGTCAGATTTCTTCCAGTAAAAGGGAGGCCATTATTTGTGGTCTTTTTATAAAGCCACACCGGGCGACAGTGATTCAGCCGTCTCCTTTCTGTGGCATTCATCTGCACACAGGCTTTAGCAGCAAGGCTTTCCAGGAAGCAGAGCCCGTCGGGCTGGCCCTGGGATCGCTCCCCTCACGTCCCCTCCGTGTGTCTCATGTCCCTGTCTGCAGAGGGGGAGGAAGACGCTTGTGCGCTGAGCTGTCTGTCCTGCTCAGGGAAGGTGCTCCGGCTGCGTTTCCCAAGTGCTCTGGTTCACGGAACTTGGAACGCCTGAGTGATTCATTTCCCGAACCGGATGGATTTATTTAGAGAAAAATTAATGCCATTTTTATAAGCAAAGACTCTGCTGAGCCTTACCTTCCAGTTGGTTTATTCCCTAGGAATCAGGAGCATACTGATTATGAAATGCTAGAGCAAAGGTGGAGGGGCCCTGATGCAACTGCTCAGGCTATTCAACCACTCTGCTTTGAGCGTCATTCATTCCTTTGGTCTCTTATTCCTCTGAATAAGCAAACATTGGACCAACTTCTGTATGCCAGATACTCTGCTGGGTCTTCTGGGTCTGAATATGCATTAGTCACATTGTCTGGCATCGCCTTAAGAGGTGTGATCTAGGAGAAAACACAACCTACGAAGGAAGTGCAATGCTGGACGCCTGCAGGGAAGCAAGAAAGCAAATGGAAGGGAAGCCAGGAGGCTTTAGTGTGGAGATGAGCCTTGAAGAGTCTGGGTGACCTTCCATCTCTGACAGGTGGGCTTGGTGTTAGTGACAGCAGAGCATGAGTCCTCGCTCTGCCGAGAGGCAGCTGTGGGATGGCTTGTGAGTTCTTTCCCTCTCTGAGCCTCACTCTTCACTTGTCAGTCACGGCGGAAATGATTTCTGCCAGATGCAGCGTTTGCAGGGATTGATAGACGATGCATGCATGGTGACTGGCCCTGCGCACGGCTGTAATCCGGACCTGCCTGGAGGGCAGCAGGAACAGCCCCCCGGTTACTCACGTGAGCTCACTGCTTGCCTTCCAGGCTGAGAGACGTGGCGGGGGCTCCCGTGATCAGCAGCCGCATGCTCGGCCTGCACTTCCACCCCCGGAGAGGTCTGCACCACCAGGTCCCCGTCATGTTTGACTACTTCCACCTGTCGGTGATCTCAGTGACCATCCACGCCGCCCTGGTGGCTCTGCAGCAGCCCCTGATCAGGTACGATGGGAGCCCTGAGGCGCTGGGGCCACTTGGCTTTCTGGTTACACTTCTGTGGCCGGTGCAGCTGGTTTCATCAGACTGATGGACACAAACCAGGAGCATGTCTCCTGAGCTGCAGGGTTGGGCTCTGGGCCTCCCTGAGGGGCCGGGGAGAGGCAGGTGGCATGGGCAACAGGCAGCAGGAGGCGAGGGGACACAGGCAGTGAGCCGAGGGGCTGAAACCATGCCAATTTCAGGTTTGACCTGAAGACCTGGGTTCTACACCTAGTTTTGCTTTTTTCTAAGTGTGCCTTAATTGAGAAGTCATCCAGGGTCCCTGAGACACACAGTTTTCCTGTGTAAAACAGGAACACGAATGTGCCCCATCCACACAAGCTTTCAGTGACTCTCAAGTGAGGACAGTGGCCAGGCACGTGGTAGGGGCTCTGTTTTCGGCCCCTTCCCTGAGTTGCTGTTTGTTCAAGTACTTGAACACCTGTGTGGCCCTGTGTTCTCTGTGTTCTCCCCCTCAGTGAATCTCCCAGGGCACCTCCGAGTCCCTGTGTGGCCCTGAGGTTTCATGAATTCCGTAAGAGGAGGGGCAGAGCTGACAACAGTTGATGGGTGTATTGCACCCAGCCGTCTTCACATACACCTGGCATGTCAGACACATTCATCAAATCATTTCAAAACCCTGTGCCAAAGGATGTTTAGGGATAGAATCTTGCATGGTGGGCTTTTTTGGGGGAAGTTTTCCCAGTGTCCCTTTTCAGGTCAGCTTTTCAGTGCTGGGAGTTGAAATGCCTGTGAGGGAGCCTCCAATCCCCCCTAACTGTGGGGCAGTTTGATGCGCTGGCTCCTTGAGGGGGTCAGCGAGTGAGAAATGCAGCTGCTCTTGGCCACGTGCTGTCTCAGCGGCCCTGCCCGTGTCACCAGGCAGTCTGCTGAGCTCCATCGCAGGCTCTGCTCACCCAGGAGCCCCTTCAGGTACTGACCTCGAATGGTAGCAGTAATGGACTTGTGTCAGAATAACCATAATCCCCAAACTGGGAGGTGTCACCCAGAGGTAAAGACAAGGTGCGACCACAGGGTGTGGTGAGGTGATTTCTGAGAGGAAAAAGGACACCACATAGGGGTAGGGAGGCCCTGCGGGGGTGTTAACTCAGTGTGCAGGGTGGGGGCCGGGAGACCTGGGAGCCAAGGGTGGAGAGAGCCGGGGAGGGGCACCACCTGGCTGGGTGCCCTGGCTGTGAAAACAGGCCCCTGGCCTCTGGGGCTCCGCTGAGAGGTTTGGACATTTTCCTGCCCTAAACCTGATGGAAACTGGGCCCTGAAGATAAGGGAGCTGCCTGTATGAGGGAGGCCATGGAACCGCTTGGGAGTCTTGATCCAGCGGGTATTTATGGAGGGCCGGCCGCACCCCAGGAACGGTGTGGATCTGCTCAGCACGTCCTCCTGTGACAACGAAAGAGATAGACTTCTCCCTCCAGGAGTGCAGGGTGGCTGGGTGGGCCGAGCCACAGATGTGGAATTATAATATGGCCATGTCCAGTGCTGCTGTGGCCTTTCATAGGAACTGTTACAAGAATCATAGATGCAGACTCAAAGCGAAGCAGGCCTGCCCTTGGGAAGGTGCAGGAGAGATAGAATCCAGAAAGCACCAGAGAGCATGATGGCCCCGTAAAGGGGAGCTCCAGACGTGAGCTCATTCGGAGGCTAGGCAAAAAGTGGCCTCAATGCAGAGTTCAGGACATGGTCTTTCTGCTGCCAGTGAGGTAGGGTTGATTGATGGCCGGAGGTTGTGTCCTGGGATTAGCTGGCTCTCAGCTGCTGAGGGGGCACCGCCTGGGTCAGGACAACAGAGCTTCCTGCACGTGGCTCTCGGGCCCCGAGACTGACTTGTTTGGCATCAGCTGGAGTTAGGACTACCTGATTGTCTAGCCCCACCACATGATTTCTGGGGATCCTTGTTTGGGTCACCTAACTTCTCTAAACATCAAAATAACAAATGACATCTCAATGTCAAAATAATAAATAAATAAATGAAGGCAAGAAGGTAGAAAGGAACTTTTAAATGGGCAGTGATACTAACCCAGTGGAGATGAAAGGGGCTGCAATGAGATGAAGGGCAGAGTGTATGTGATGCTTTGTGAGCAGGGGCTGGGGTAGCAGTGGGCATCACTAGACATCAGCTGCCCCTCCTAGAAGGGCCGAGCAGGAAGCCCTGAGATGAACAGGTCAGATCTGGGACCATAAAAGGCTTGGAGCTTGGCAAGGCAGAAATACACACAATTGGGTGTGCAGAGTATCCAGGGAACATGATGGAGGGATGGGGTTAAGTGTGGGCTTTGGGATCAGGGGGACCCGGGTCACTGTTCTGAGCCCCTTTCTTATTGAGCCTATTGGTTCAAACATGTGACGTAAGCTCTCTGAGCTTTCATTTCACTACATTCCAGAAGGTTCTTAGAAGAATTAAATGAGACAGTACATGCAGAACCCTTGGCCATGCATTCAGTCGATTAATATTTACTTGGCACCTACCATGTTCCAGGCCCTGATCTAGGGCTCTTGTCTAGCACCTGACAAGCACTCAGTAAATGGTAGATAAATTTAAGCACGGGGAAGAAGCCATTCTGCTTGAATGGAAATCGGGGAAGGCTTTAGGAAGAAGTGGCCTTTGAGCCAGACCCAGGGAATAAGAGATTGTGATGGTGAAAAATAAACTCGGGAGGGTAAATTAGAGTCATACTGCACAGTGTAATTAATGACACACTAAGTATTGAGAATCCACTTATTATATGAGAAGGATGCATTGAAGGCCTCGAGCAGGAGAATCACCTGATCAGACCTCTGTTTTACCCAGTTCCCTGCAGCGGCTGTGCGGGTGTTGGGCTGGAAGTTGTATCAGGGTGCAGGCAGGCGGGCCAGTTAGGAGGAGATGGTGATGGTCCATCCCAGAGACGGGGAGATGTCGTCACTGAGATGGCTGTGAGGAGCTGATCTTTCTCCTTTTGTTGCGGGAAGCCTGAAGACTGGGGATCTAGAAATTCTTAGGAGACAGTTTAACCTTTGACAAAAACAGTCCTTAGTAAGTTTGTCTACAGCAACCTTGCCCGAGGAGCCCAGATAGAAATTCACCCTCAGAGCTTAGCTTCTCTGGGGAATGGGGTAAAAATAGAACTGTCTTCTGTTCTCTGAATTTCCCAGGGAAGATTTCTGTTAGCTCATGGCGGCTGGGAACAAGGAATGCTATAAACTTATGGGAAATGCCTGTCAAATGGAGAAAGTTCTAGTTTTTCCAGGAAAGCAATTTTCCCAGCATCAGTTCAATCCAATCAGGAGAAAGCAGGGGTGAAATTAAAATTCAAGCTCCAAAGTCCCTTCAACCTTCCCTGAAACAGGCCGAAGCAGAGAAAACAATTTTTAGTCCTCAAACAGATACAAGTAGATTTCACTTGGGGGATTCACTAATGAGTTATTAATTTGCAGCCTATCCCCCAAATGTGCCGTGAGCCTCGGTGTCATGTACATATTCTACGTTTTCTTCTGAGTGTTGTTTTTATCCACCTTCTAGCTAAACTGCAGACTTGCTTCAGATCTCAGTTCCAAGCAAATCAGAGTAGTGATTCTATTATACTTGATTCTATTTGTGGTATTATCATGCATAGCTATATTAGTACAATGATTATATTAGATTTTCTTAGATTGGTAGGAATATGGACAATATTGCAACACTTATGGAATCATTACTTTTTGTGAGACCCTGTACCTAAAGCTGTATTTAGCTGATCTCATGGAATCCTCAGACGCCACGGAGAAAGTGCTGGTATCAACCCTGCTGACTTGGGAGAACACAGGCCCCGGGACAGTAAAAATCTTTCCCCATGTCGCAGAGCTCGTAGGTGTTGGCAGGCCAGCCTCGGTGGTTGCCTCTCCTTGAGTATCATCTCTAACTATTGATCTCTTGCACACAGTTTGCTTTATAAACTGCTCTCCTGTGCTCACTGCCTGAGTTCACCTCTGTTGCCTTGCATCTGCCTCAGCAGACACCACAGTACTTCATGGTGAGGGCCATGCCTGAAGCATCTTAGTAGGCATGAGCCTACTACATATGTGAAGACATGAATTAAACAGAAATATAATATTAGCTTTGAGTGCCTGTCAATACATTAAGCAGGAATGTGGGTCTAGGATTAAATCATTCCACAGATATTTCTTGAGCACCTCAGGACATGATGCCACCTGAGGCTATTTATTGTCAAGATCCTCATTGCCATCAGAGACTTTGAACCTCGTTGGGAGAATAAGACATGCCTATAAAACAGCATTCGCAGTACGACAAGACAATTAGCCACTAGGATATTTCATAGAAGAGATCTGAAAAAAGGGGAAATGAGTTTAAGCAGACTTTATGATGTATCAGTTGATAAAAATTGACAAGGTAAAGGGAGAGGGAGAGGTTCAGCAGTCGAAATAAGACAGATTCGTGGAATCACACCGGCTTTCCTAATCCCCTCTGATCCTAAAGCTAATGGCCCCACCGCAGCACATCGGCCGATCTTGCGGTGACTTGCAGAGCCGGGCAGTGCTGCGTATTTGTCTGTGGGGCAGATCACAGTGTTCCAGCCAGTGCTGACCAGTGAGCCTTTCATAGATCATGGCAGCCTTAATGTCCATGACCCTTTTAGACTTGTGTGGGGGTCAAGGAGGTAGGTCTTTATGTTTTTCCCAGAACAAACGGAGACTCAGAAGAAGATGGGGGTTGAAGGTCACGCCAGGTGTGCCACCTGGAGGAGCAGAAGCAGAGCTGAGCCCGCTCAGATGGAGCCTCCCCTTGTCCTTTGGCTGGGACCCCGGCTCCCCTGCCCCTCCACTGTGCAACCTTGTTTCTCTGCCTTGGGCACAATGCTGGCCTCCCAGGTGGCATCTCGCATACACGTAGTAGGGGGGTGTCACGCTCACTTGCCAGTTGCTCCCCTTTGCCACAGCGGCATCCCAAACTGTCTGGCCCAGACAGCGCTGGGGGTGAACTTCCAGATGACTTACCTACGGCTCCCCACTACGTTGCCAGGGGACAGTTTAATAGCACCCTCACTTTCCTTATGCCCTTCTCTCCCTCTTTACTTCATTTCAGTTTTACTCGCCCAGGAAGAGGCTCCTGGCTTGGGAAGGGCGGCCCAGATGCAGGACCTGAGCAGTCTAGCCTTTCTCTGGAAAACCTGGTGTTTGGAGCGGGATACTGCAAGCCGACCTCCTCAGAGGTAATGTCTGCACAGGGGCGGCAGCCCCGAGACCCAGCTTTGCCGTGCAGGGCATGTGGCCCCTGAGGTGCCTGCTCCTGGCCTGCTTAGGGACACTTTGCGTGGCCCCCTACCATCTATCCTGCCATTGCTTCTTTAATCACGGCTGCCTTTATCAAACATGCTCCCAATCGTGGGCCCTGGGGTAGATCCTGGGAGTGGGGTCTTCAGACGGCGCCTTTTCTAGGGGGTCCTTGAAGACTTTGGTTCTCTGGAGGCCATGGGGTGTGTTGTGAGGGGCTCCCCTTGGACCACAGGGTAACCTCAAAGCCCTTTGGTGCTGAGCTGGTTTCAAAGCCCGGCTCCACCTCTCATTTGCTCACTTTTTCGGAGCCTCGGTTTTCCCGCCTGTAGGGTGGCGTCACTGATACTGAATCATCGTCTGGGGTGTCATGTGTATCCAGTGCCATAATAAATGTGAAGTCGAACTTCTAGCCAGTACCTGGTACTCAGTGGCGCTCAACGAATGTGCAGATCCCATCCTCAACTTGTTCTTTTTTCCCGGTGAACACCTATCCTTACTCTTCTCTGATGTGCAGGACTTTTTGACCACATACCTTATTTTTCCTGAGCCAATGCAGGACTATTGTTCTTAGGGGGCCTGCTCCCCTCAGAAATAACCAGCCTGCACCAGTCTGGGTTCCCCGAGAAACAGAAGCAGTTAAGAGCCAAATGCATGGTATAGGATATATCTGCTTATCTACATCCTGTGTCTATACAGACACATATAAATATAGATACAGGATATATTTCTGTCTAAATCCTTTATGTCTATGCATATAAAGAGATTTATTTTGAGGAATTGGCTCATATGCTTATGAAAACTGAGTAGTCCCAAGATGGGCCATCTGCAAGCTGGAGACACAGGTGCGGGGGGCCGGGGGGTGAAGGGCGTCTCTACTGACACACGAGGGCTGCATGGGGCTGCCCCTGGAGACTGCACAGAAGCCCTCCACCTGGGTTGGGGTGGGTAGGGGCATGGTAGGTCCCATCCGGTGCGGTTACATCTGAGGGGGCTGAGCATGGCCAGGCCACACCTCTACTCCTGCAGCTGTTGTGTATGCGAAAGAGAAGATTCTGGTGTTAAATGCATACTATGCTCAAAGCCATGTGTCTGGGAGATTCATCCCTCCCACCCCACTGTGGAAACTCAGGTTCTTCAACTCTAAAATGGGATGATACCTATCCTTTAAGAGAGAATTTCAGGAGTTAATATGTGTAAAAACAGTACAAAAATAGACTCATAACAGGCACATGATACAATAAAGGTTTTTTTTTTTTCTTCATTTCTTTTCCTGGCTATTTTTGGGGATGTGTGTCAAAGAAGACATCCCTGTCTTTTCCAGGAGTCAGATAGAATAGCTTATGGGTGGGTGCTCAGCGGTGTACTTGCTCACGGAGCTTAGCTCAATGGGTTATTTTCAGGACCTGCTTCTTTCCCTGTGTAATTTCCATTTGGGTCCCATCCAATTATGTGGGCTCAGTGCCGTGCGCCCACCCTATGCCTTCCCACCAGGCAAGGGCTGCCAAGCAGAGAATAAAATCCACTCCCTCCATCTCCCCTGGGAGCCGTGCATCAAATACTCCAGAAACCCAGCGCATTAGCAAATAATACCAGAATCCACCCAGATTTCAGCGTCAGCAGGAAGGGTTAGAGAGCAGGTGTTCCCTTCAAAACAAGCGGTTCTACACAAGACATTTGCAGAAACAAGAATTTCATAGCAAAAGGAGCTGACTGGCATGAGAAATCATGGGAGATAAAGACTGACGCAACGTGCCAGCCCCCTTTCCCGCCCGCCAGGCCTCCCTCTTCCCCAGAAGGGAGCCCCGCTCTTTCCCGCTGCATGGCGTGCGCCCAAAGCTTGGGGTTTAGAGTTGGCGTGAGGGCTTGCATCCCGTCCCCATTGCAAACCAGCAGCTTTGCCTGGGGGAATTATTTACCCTCTCTGACTCACTGCTTCCCTGCTAAAGGGGATACTAGTGCCTGCCTCACCGGGTTGCTAAGAGGATTGAGTGAAATAAGCATATAAGAGCCTTGAGCATAGAGCTTGGCACAAAAGTGCTAAATAAAATTCTTGGCTGGTTTTATTTTTATTTTAGTTCATTCACATAATTAAATAGAATGTTACTCAAGGGCCCCAGTGTGGCCTTGTTGGTAGGGCATCGGATGGAGAATCTTAGATGGGGTTCTGTTCTTGGCTTCAGCACCGACGTGCTGTGTGACGTTGCACCAGACACTTGTGCTCCCTGGTCGCAGTTTCCCAGTGTATAGAAAGGAGCTGGGGGAGATCACCCTGAGGCGTCCCTCAGTCCTGCTCTGCTGCTTTTTCTGTAACATCCTTGACACGGCTGGTGCAACTACGGACACTTGACATATGTTTGATTTGTTAGTCCGGACTCTCCAGAGAATGGAACCAGTAGGATGTGTGTGTTTGTCACACACACACACACACACAGGTTTTCAGGGATTGGTTTGTGTGACTGTGGAGCCTGGCAAGTTCAAAATCTCTAGTTCAAGCCAGCTGGCTGGAGACCCAAGGAAGAGTTTCAGTTTGAGTCCAAAGGGACCCATGATCAAATTCCTCCTTCTTGATAGGTGGTGTGACCAGGCTTTCTCTTGAGGTCTTCAACGTCTTGGGTGAGGCCCACCCATAGTACAGAAGGTAATCTGCGTTACTCAGAGTCTAGTGATGTAAATGCTAGTCGCTTCAAAAACATACCTTTGCAGGAACATCTACGATAATGTTTGACCAAATAGCTTGGTACTGTGGCCTGGCTGCACTGACACATGAAATTCATCATCACACTTAATAATTCTCACGGTCTGATAGACTCTCACTGAAGATCAAGAATCTAGGTACTCAGAGTAAAGATAACCCGTTTCCCCCTGGGGAGACGCTGTGTACCCCCCTTCCTTCTTATGGAAATAAGGGGCTATTCCTCCTCTGAAGGGGGAGGAAATGGGGGTGTGGGGAGATTCAGACTTAAGAGCTCTCCTCATCTTCAGAGCTCTGCCCTCCAGGGCAGGAATGTCAGTGTGTCCATCCGTTATTTATCCATCAGCCTCTTGTTTAGCCCCTGCTGTGCTGGCATCTGGGTGCTGCAGGGACCAAAATGACTAAACTCTAGTCTCTAACCCCAGTGGGTTGTGGGATGTAGCTTGTCAGGCAAAGCAGTAATTAAAACTTAAAATCCCACAGTAGCAGGAAAACCATGGTGCCGATCATTTCAAGTCTCATTTCTGGGCTCCGACTCTGTGAGGCTGTTGAGGCACACGGACTTCGTTGCTTCCAGCATGACTGTTTTGCATCTCCTTTTACCGATGAGGAAGCTGATAGAGAGGTTGAGTTCTGCCTCTGCGCTCACAGAGCTGGGCAGGGGGCCAAGCTAGAGGTTTCAGCTGGTCAGCGGGATTCTGTCCAGCCCCCACCCGCATCACCGTCCACTAGGTTAATGGTGAACCACAGAAGGGCCAAAGGTCCCTGCGCTGCCACGGTGGGACGCGTTTCCGATGGACCCGCCCGTGTGTGCCTGATGCAGTGTGCGTGCTCAGGAAGTCTTTGCTGAATGAATGTGTCAGAAACCATGGAATCTGAGGCTCTCTGAATGCGAGAGAACAAAAGCCCTTGCTAGTAGACTGTGAGGCATTTAACTCTGCGACAGATCTGTTTCCAGCCAGCGCTTTGAGCCTCCCTTGTCCTTTATTCACCCGGGGAGGTCACAGAAGCCATGCCGTGGGGAGAATGCTCTGCCGGCGCAGATGGACAGGACTGAGATGCACAGGTTGGCCACCAGAGTGAAATTCCTCCATCCTCTGCTGACTTAGAAGATGGTGTCTAGACAGAGAAAGCTGTGCCATTGAGAGGACATTCCAGGCGGCCGCTCTGGAGTCACCTCCCCTTCCAGCAGGATTGCAGAGGGACCCGGCATAGCGTTTTCCTTGAAGGGAAAAATGCTCAGGCGGCTATGGAGGGCTTAGCGGGACACGCCTTCCATGCTGAGCCTTGCATGTGCCAGGCCTCGCTCCCTGGCAGCAGCCGAGTGCCTGGCAGGGCGGCTGGGAGGGAGAAACTGGAGGGCAGAGCTGACATCTGGGCAGACATCTCCCATCTCCTAGGCATGTTTTTCTTTTTGCCCTTTTTGCCTACATGTTTACTGGGATCTTTGTACTTTTCCCTTTCTTTAAATATAACCTCACTTGCTACTGTAAACATCCTCATATCCTTCTCCCGAGTATCCCTAGTCACATAGGTAAGACATACGCCCATCATTACTGTTAACACATAACTGTATCATCTCTGGATTCTGCCGTCTCCATAAGTGGAGACACTGCCATTGGCTTATTCACTAATGAATAACATTTATTTATCAAGCACCTGCTATCTCTCAGGAACTGTGCTAGGAGTTAGTGATACAGCGCAGGAAATGGCAGCCTCAGCCCCTGCCTGCTGGGGCATCTTTACGTCTATATCCTCTGGTCCACTTTCAAGTTGCTGATGCTTTGGGGGTGCTCAGTTGACGTTGGAGGTACAAGTGAGTGAGCTGGTGTAGCATCAGGTTCTTGATTCTATATGAGGGGTGACCACAGCTGATGGAGTCATTGGACAGAGTAGGTCCTGTGCCCAGCGACCACAGTATGTTTAGGGGCCAATGGAATGTTCTAATTTCTTTTAAAATCACAACAAAAAAATTTAGATTATCCAACCTGGATTATATTCTTTTTTATATCAATTAACTCATAAAAATAGAGTTTTAAACATTTTTTTAATGGATAAAAAGTGCCTGGGTGCCACAAAGGACATAATTCAGCTGTAGGGACAAGTACTATTTCTTACCTCTTATTTTTGCTTCCTGGTTATAGACATACAAAAGCAGAGCCCAGGGAACCCACATACCTTTCCCAAGGCAGGCAGGTGTGAACCTAGACCTCAGCTCTGTGTTGGGGCCCATTTCATTAGCAG